GAGGGGGGGAGGGGGAGGGCGGCCTTTAAACCCACTCTCCACACATCACTGAGAAGGATAGCGATTGCATCATATGGGGATAAAAAAAAGTCAGGCCCCGGGCTCGGGTCTCTCTCTGTGTCTGTCTGTCTGTCTGTCTGTCTGTCTCTCTGCTCACACTCAGGCCCTCTCTCTCTCTCTCTCTCTCTGCTCACACTCAGGCCCTCTCTCTCTCTCTCTCTCTCTGCTCACACTCAGGCCCCAGCTCTCTCTCTCTCTCTCTCTCTCTGCTCACACTCAGGCCCCAGCTCTCTCTCTCTCTCTCTCTCTCTGCTCACACTCAGGCCCCAGCTCTCTCTCTCTCTCTGCTCACACTCAGGCCCCAGCTCTCTCTCTCTCTCTCTCTCTCTGCTCACACTCAGGCCCCAGCTCTCTCTCTCTTTCTCTGCTCACACTCAGGCCCCAGCTCTCTCTCTCTCTCTGCTCACACTCAGGCCCCAGCTCTCTCTCTCTCTCTCTCTGCTCACACTCAGGCCCCAGCTCTCTCTCTCTCTCTCTCTCTCTCTGCTCACACTCAGGCCCTCTCTCTCTCTCTCTGCTCACACTCAGGCCCCAGCTCTCGCTCTCTCTCTGCTCACACTCAGGCCCCAGCTCTCTCTCTCTGCTCACACTCGGGCCCCAGCTCTCTCTTTCTTCACTAACACTCTATCTCTGCTCACACTCAGGCCCCAGCTCTCTCTCTCTCTCTTCACTAACACTATCTTTGCTCACACTCAGACCCCAGCTCTCTCTCTCTCTCTCTGCTCACACTCAGGCCCCAGCTCTCTCTCTCTCTGCTCACACTCAGGCCCCAGCTCTCTCTCTCTCTGCTCACACTCAGGCCCCAGCTCTCTCTCTCTCTCTCTGCTCACACTCAGGCCCCAACTCTCTCTCTCTCTCTCTCTGCTCACACTCAGGCCCCAGCTCTCTCTTTCTTCACTAACACACACTCTCTCTCTCTCTGCTCACACTCAGGCCCCAACTCTCTCTCTCTCTCTCTCTCTGCTCACACTCAGGCCCCAGCTCTCTCTTTCTTCACTAACACACTCTCTCTCTCTCTCTCTGCTCACACTCAGGCCCCAGCTCTCTCTCTCTGCTCACACTCAGGCCCCAGCTCTCTCTCTCTTCACTAACACACTCTCTCTCTCTCTCTCTGCTCACACTCAGGCCCCGGGTCTCTCTCTTCACAGACACTCAGGCCCCGGGTCTCTCTCTTCACAGACACTCAGGCCCGGGCTGGCTGGAGCTCTGGTCTCTCTGCCTCCCCCCCCCCTGGCTGACTGACTGGCTGACTGACTGGCTGCCTGACGAGTCCTCCCAGCTGCTCCTCCAAGCCAACCAGATGCACAAGATGGTCCGGGGCGAGCGCCGCCACCGCCGATTGTGACGTAACCGCTCCTTGGGGGCGTGGGAAGATTCCGAGAAACCAACACTGAGCATGCGCAGCGCCCAGTGTGGGGTGGGGGGAGGGGGAGGGGGGGGGGAGTGTGTGAGTGTCACGTGGGGCTGCTTTCTCTGCTCAGTCTGGTGTCTTGGTCCCCTCCTTCCTCTGGGAAGGACTGAAGCGTTACCAACCCGCTTGCCCCACGCCCCCCCCCCCCCCCGCCCCCGGGACCCCCCCCGCCCTGCTCGCTCGCTCCACCATCAGCGTTCAGCCGGTCCGAAACGCCACCCTCGCCCTCTCCTTTCTTTCCATCAAGACCTTCCTCTTCGATCGTGCCTTCGGTCATCTTCTCGCCCACCCCCCCCCCACCCCCCCACTTTGCTCTCCATCCTTCTTGACTCCAACCCCTCGTTCGGCGACGGACACGAGAACGTAAAAATTTGCTGGACGAAAGAAGAAGACCCGAGGTCCATCTCGTTCACGTTCCACCGTCCTGGCGTTCACTTGGCATGCCATATCCCAAACTATATGCCGTATCTCTTCACTGTCTAGCGCCTTGGGCCGTCCTCGTGACATGAAAGGCACTAAATAAATGCAATTTGTTGTCTGATGTATGCTGAAGTCGATCATTGTGCTTAAGAGTGATCAAACCAGACGAAGAGTTGCACATGTGAGCTGTCACCTTCATTCCCGCCACTCCCACTGTCGCAAATTATTAGGTTGTCAGCCCGGCTCAGTTGTTAGCACTCAAACCTTTCAGTCAGGTTGTGGGTTCAAGCCCCATGTCCTGCGCCTGAATCTTATATTGTCTAATCTGATGCTCTGGCGCATTGCTTGGGTTATGCAGAATTGTCGGTGGTGCCATCCTTTAGAAACTAGAGATGTTAAAGCGAGATCTCGTCTGCCTGTTCAAATGGCGTTAAAGATCCCATGACACTATTCGAAATTGGTTGGGAGTTTCTCCCAGTGTGAGGTACTTCATGGCGAGGCACACAGCACACAGAGTTTTTTTCACTAACGAATAATCCACCAAATAAAATTGGTTGTTCACGTTGTAATGATCCTCAATCCTCAACAACTGGTGTATTCAGTAACTACTTCAAGACCCATCTCAAGACCCTCCTCTTCGACTGTGCTTTTGATCACCTTCCCTCCCGCCCTCCACCCTCCCCAATCTCAACCCTCAGCTCGGGTCTGAAACACTGATTGTCCAGCGCTTTGGGACGTCCTCTCGATGTGAAAGGCACTATACAAATGTAATTTTGTTGTTGTTATTGTACTTTTTATCAGTTTGCAACACTCGAATACTCCAACCATAGCCCACAACGACAGGGCCTTCCCAGGATCCCTTTTATACTTCTAGCTTCAATTTCATTGCTTCTTCTCAAATTATCCATTACTCATAAAGGATACCTAACACACTTCAAGACTGATTGTGAGATATTGCTGTGCACAAATTGGCTGCCCTGTTCGTTCATAAAACACACAATCACTCTATTATGCAGTATATTCTGGCTAATGTTCAGGTTGACACACCTCCAAAGGTAGCACAACATACAATACAGCTATCAATCCCTCAGTAATGGACTACAGTCAACCTGGATTATGAATACATGTTTTGGTACCACATCAGCTTGACACACATTTGATGTATGGCAAAGTAAAAAAATACTCTACTGTATGTCTAGCCATGCACTACCTCAAATGAGGGCAGTTGATGCTGATGCTAGGTGCCAAAAGTGGAAACATGTTTCATTTATCAGGGTGGAAAAATCTTGCCTGATCAATGTAGATAAAAATTCTTGGTTGTATTTAACTTAATGATTTACTGCAGCAATACATCATCTTGAGACTGCTTGGAGTATTGCTGTAATGAGAATGAAGGTCAACTGCATTGTTACTGCTCTGAGTTCCTCTCCGCCTGCTTCATCTCCGCCTGCTACAAAAATATTTTTTGTATTGTATCTCCTTGAAATATTTACATTGAAAGAGTTGTTCTTGTCTTCAACAACAACAAATAACATTTGTACAGTGCCTTTCACGTAGGGAAGAGGTTCTAAGGCCCTGGACAGTCAAGGATTAGGACCCGAGCTGGTGGTTGGGATTGGGAGAGTTGGAGGCCAGGGACGGTAGGGTTAGGAGGGTGACCGAAAGTGCAGTCAAAGAGGAGGGCCTTGAGACATGCCTTGTGGGAGGCAAAGGAGGGGGTGAGGTGAAGGCACTGTGGAATGGAGTTCCAAAGGGTGGGGGCAGAAAAGCTGAAGGCCCGACCTCTGACGGTGTGGCAGGCCGTGCAGGGAAAGGAGACAAAACAGAGGAAAAGGAACTCAGAACAGTAACAATACAATTGATCTTCATTCTCATCACATCACAACACAGATTTCCTGAAAGTGATTCACTTTGGAATCTGGTCATCTTTTGATTACAAGCACAATCTAATATAAGTTGATGACAAAATTGCTGAGCACCATCAACACATCTGTGTTTGTGCTTTTTTACAGTGCCACATAGTGCCACAAGATGATGTCATTTTCAATCTGTTTATGCTATTTTACTGTTCTCACTCCGTCTCATAAATCAAATAACACCTGCGACCTACTCCTTTGTTCACACCAGAATAAAAAACAGCACAACCTCTGACGTTTATGCATCTATTGATTAATTAATCCTTGGATTCGATATAGCACCTTATCAACAACAACATTACATTAGTATAGTGCTTTCACGTCTGGAGGATGTCTCAAGGCGCTGTTTTGGACCCGAATTGAAGGTCGGGATTGGGGAGGGTGAAGGGAGGAGGTGGAAGGAATGGGACCGAAGACACGGTCGAAGAGTAGGGTCTAGATATGGGTCTTGAAGGAGGCAAGGGTGAGGCGGTGGGACTGCGGGATGGAGTTCCAGAGGATGGGAGCAGAGTGGCTGAAGGTCTGCCTGACAATAGTGGGACGGGGGACGTGAAGCAGGCTGAAGCCCGCTGAGCGGAGGGAGCAGGCAGTTAGGGGGTTAGGAGATCGCAGAGGTAGGGGGAGAGCAAGGCCATGGAGGGCTTTGAAAGTGAGGACCAGGATCTTGAACTGTATCCTCTGTATGATGGGAAGCCAATGGAGTCGGGCGAGGATGGGGGTGATAGGGCCACGAGAAGTCTCAAACCACACTGTTTTGACACGTCTCAAAGCGCTTCACAGATTACATTGCGAAGTGGATTTTGTAAAGTATTTTGCGAACCAAACCTATGCAAAGTTAAGTGTCCACGCGTTAAGAGTATCATTGTACGTCTTGTAGCTGCTCTTGTCAGTATGGCGCCCCCTGTTGGCTCTCCCCAGTGCCCGTTATTTGCGTGACTGAGCCGTCAACGTGCCCACAATACCTTGCAGGTCAGAATAATGAAACATAAACAATTAAACGGTCACCAAAAGTTGGCCAATATGTCTTCAAAAGTGCTCAAGTGCAGAATGGCCGTGTTGTGCATCGGGAAACCCAGGAGCTCAGCCGCACGGCGTTCAACCTGGTGGCAAACGGCGAGGGCTTGAAATCTGCTGTACCGCAACAAAGAGGAGAGTTGGGCGGCGTTGGTGTGCGGCTGGACCTCTCCCGGGCTATGCTCTGGTTTCTCTTCAGATCGTATAAATCTTTCGCCTTTTACTAAAGATTTCCGTGGAGAGGAGCATTTACGAGTTTTTAACCCAATTTTTTTAGGCTCTGCACCAGCAGAGCTCCCTTCCCAATGAACAACAGAGTAAAACACACTCCCACTCCCTTCCTTTGGTCACCCTCCCACTCCCTTCCTTTGGTCACCCTCCCACTCCCTTCCTTTGGTCACCCTCCCACTCCCTTCCTTTGGTCACCCTCCCACTCCCTTCCTTTGGTCACCCTCCCACTCCCTTCCTTTGGTCACCCTCCCACTCCCTTCCTTTGGTCACCCTCCCACTCCCTTCCTTTGGTCACCCTCCCACTCCACTCCCACCCTTGTTCTTCTCCTCCACCCCTCCCGATCCTGACCTCCCGCCGCCACCCCCCCCCCCCCCAAGCAGTGGCACCGGTCTGTGTGCCGCCACGTGAAATGGGCAGAGGGTACATTTGATGCTTGAGATGTAACCCAAGAGTCCTGAGAACGTATGTCAGACAACGCTCAGCAGGTCAGGTCAGGCAGCGTCTGACGGGAGAAAGGAAAAGTCAGTCAACGTTTCGGGTCCACGACCCTTCCTTCCTCGGCACTGGGGCGTGTTGGGAGGGAGAGGCTTTTAAGGCCTGACGGTGAGGGGCGGGGGAGGCGAGGCAGGGCAAGGGAGGCAAAGAAGAAAACGGGGTAGAAGACATGGCATGACGGGTTAAAGAGATGCTAATGATTTTGCGCCCCGAAGATGTATGTCCGCCTGCCTGCCTGCCCCCGCAAAATGGGGAGCGGCCAGGAGTGAGGTAATTGGGTGTAAATGCTCCCTGTAGATAAAGGGAACAGAACTCCAGCAGGGACCCCGAGGTTGACAGGGATGGGACTGTTTCGGGTTGTTTAGTGTGTCTGTATGGGTTTGTATTTGCGAGGGGTTTCCGGGTGTGCGTTTGGGTAAACATGTGCACATCGGGGTGCTCTCTGAAATAGTCAAGTGTGCCTCATCAGGATGTGTGTGGGTGTGCACTTGTGTGTGTAGTGCAAATGGGTGTTTCCAAACGAAGCATCCCGAAAACGGAAAAATAACGTGTTTGCATCTCTTTTTTTCTGTAAAGGGTTTGATACTGTCTCAGATAAGCATAAATACTTATCTATAAATATATATTTTGTTAAAAAATAAAAGAAATCCTAGGTTCACACTCTTCAGCTGTTTTTTTTTGTCTCTATTGCATTGCTTGTTAAATTATTCCTAACATTCATGCAAAGATGTTTTTGTCAATTTCTTTTGTAAAGTTACTTTTCATCGACTTTCATTCACTTTCTCTGGCCTTATTGTCTGGATTGGCTTTATATTGTCTGAGGGTGTTGACTAAAGTATCCAATTTATTTTGTTACAATAAAGAATTTATATGATCCAGTGAGGGCTCTCCCCTCCCACCCGCCACCACTTTGAATGTTGATTGTAAATCTTATGTTTTTCTATTCTTCCTTCAAACAATGCAATGCAGTGATGGGGTATGTGTTGCCTTGTCGGAAATGCTGTCCTTCGGATGAGCCAATAAACGAACTGCCGGTTCAAGTGAACTTTAAAGATCCCATGGCACTCTGGCCAACAATCTGCCAAACAAAAAATTGACTAGTCACTCCATGGCTGTTTGTTGTTATGAATAATTGACTGCCATGTTTTGTCCCAAAATACACAATCAAACCACTTTACAGTATACAAAACCCCAAATACTGCAGATGCTGAAAATCTGAAACTATACAGTATATCCTGTGAAGCACTTTGAGACGTAAGGCAATGCAAGGATTATTATTATTATATTACAATTAAGCAGTTACTACACTTTACAGTATATCCTGTGAAGTGCTTTGAGACATCCTCGTGATGTGAAAGCCACTATACCAAATGCAAAGATGACTGTATTTGGGATTGGTCTTGTTGCTCTTAACTAACTCGCTTGATGTCTTTTTTCTTGTTCCCTCCCTCTTACCTGCATCAATGGAAGACTTTTCTGAAGTGCATGGCTTTCCACTAAGTACCTCGGCCATTGAAACAGCTGGGATCAGGAACTCACCAAATGGAGAACTGGTACAAATCCACAATGTACAGTAACACTCTATAGGTCATTTTGAGAAAGCAACCCTCAGTTAAATTTCCACTGCTCCAATTATTATACCAATCATTGCATTTAATTTTGCGCCTATAATGTCAACACACTTCACAAGTAATTTCTATCTAGTGTGGTGATAGTGGTGATAGTATATTTGTGAACAGTTAAGTTCCCATAATTATGAAGTGAATGACCAATGATTTTGAGGATTGTTAGCCAGGACATCAGGAGCAACTCCTTTCTTTGTTCAAATAGTGTTTTAACATCCACCTGAACAGGCGGTACCTTGGTTTAATTAAAGAGGCTTAAAAGACAATCTTTACAGTATATTCTGTGAAGCGCTTTGAGATGTCTCAATGATTTGATAAGGCGCTATATCAAATGCAAGGATGATTATTATTATTATTATCTCTCCTTGTACAAGACCTTCACAAGACTTTTCCAGCAATGTGGGAACAGAGACCAAGGAGCCAAGCATCTGGCATCAAAGGCACTGAAATCACATGTACTGTGTCACATCACGTGAGGGGTCGAGAATCACTGTGGCCAATTACTGATTCAGCACTGAAAGGGTTATGCGGCCTACTTTCCTAATTAGCTTCATTCTGCACTAGCTGATGCCTTACTCACTTGGCCATTGGGAGAAATGATTCATAAACTATGTTGCATTATTTAATTAATAATAATATAATAATCCTTGCATTTGATATTGCGCTTTTCACGTCTTCTAGACGTCCCAAAGAGCTTCATAGAATATACTGTAAAGTGACTGTATATTTATGGGCAGAGTGGGGCAGCCAATTGCACACAGCAGTGTTCCACAAACAGTTGCGGATTGAATTAACCAATTTATTATTTTTTTTCTTGAGGGATTATTATCAGATGTGTGGAGTAAGGAAACTTGCCCAAGGTTTCGCCCTGTTGGGAATTGAACCCAGGTCTCTCGCTTGTGAGGCAAATGCTCTAACCACTGAGCTACAGGACTCCCTCAACAAAGGACAGACCTGTCAATTAAGACATGTTACGAGAGGCTCTTTGGCCCATTGGATCTCTGCTCTGCATAAGTGACTGCTGCATTTCAGCCACAAAATCTGCAATCAATTCACTTTATAGTATATTCTGTAAAACACTTTGAGATGTCTCAATGGTGTGATAAGGCGTCCTGGCCTCAACCATCCTTTCTGTTAACCTGTTTAATCATAGAATCGTACAGCACAAAAAGAGGCCATTCGGCCCATCGAGTTTGTGCCGGCTCTTTGAAAAGATTAATTAAGTCATTAATTAAGTTCAATATTTTGGAGCACCAGTGTCAGGACAGTGAGGGAACATTGGCTTGAGCACTCACAACGTAGATTTGCCAATCTCACTACTTTGGCAACCACAATAGCAAATTGTATTTATATTGTGCCTTTCACGTTTGAAGGGCAAACCAAGGCGCTGGGCAATCATGGGTGAGAACCAAGGGGGTGTGGGAAGATGACCAAACGTACGGTCAAAGAGGAAGGTCTTGAGATGGACCTTGAATGAGGCTAGAGAAGGAACAAGAAGGCAAAAGAATTCAAGCATAGAGTTCCAGAGAGTGGGGGCAAAAAAGACAGTGGGAAGGACAAGGTAGGAGAAGTGAAGTAGGCCAGTGCCTGCACAGCAGAGGGAAAGTCAGTAAGGTATGTTGGAGGAGGTAGAGTTTTCCTGGAGCTTTAGCAAATCTTTCAGCAATCAGCTCAATAGTCATATGGTTTGGAGAGCTGGGAGCGGTTCAGTGATTTGTCCTTATTACATGACCCTGGGAGACTAGAGAGGGAACAAACTGTAAAGAAATTAAGAGGGATTCAGGCCCTCATTATAAAGGAGCAAGGCATCTTTTTTGCAAAGTTGTGCATTTTCTGTTAAAAAGAAACCTTGAGGTAATCTATTTATTTTTAAAGTATTGCAATGATTCCAACAAAAAGAATAATTAGACAGACGGTGTGGTAAAGATTTGACAGACTGAGAAATCACAATGAATTTGATCTCATTCCAATGAGCACAGCACTGCCAATTTAGAAATGACAGAGATTCCAGTGAATTCCTTAGTTACAACAGGAACATCTCTTGACAAAATCAAGAACAAATCAATGGATGATAAGGCACTTGGAGATATATCTGACCAATTTGAGAATTTGAGCAAAGAGGTTTGCTAATCTTTACACATGTGCAAAAAATATTTTTACAATATTCTAGTGCTGAATACTCTATTGTTAATAGCTCCTTGTAATTTACTGGCATTTCATGGGGACTGTTTTTCTTTTTCTAGCAGATCTTTTGTTCCATTCACCCTCTGAGACATGCTAAAAAAAAATCTGCATTGAGATTCAGGAATAGCATAGCAGTAAAAACTGCATCACATTCAGCTTTGCTTCTTAATCAGGAAGAACTAAAATAATGTGTTGAATATCAGTTTACAAATCATAGTTCTAAGATATTTCTTAGCTTTTGGTTGAGTAGCAAGATGTATGTAATAATATTTAATAATTTTGCATTTCATACAGTGTTTTATCACGTCACCGAGCAGTCTCAAAGTGCTTTAAAAATTGTAAAAAACTAGGATGAATTGAAAGATGTTGGAGAGGAAAGCAAGTAAGACAGAAACACAGACATTCTCAGCATAATTTTTTTTGGATCAATGTGAAAACCTATCACTATGCTTCAGAATCTGCAACCTGGACATATATATGCCACCTCCCCCCCGGAAGAATGCACCTTACTTGTTGAATGCCTTGGGGGCACTGCTAGCATAATACAATTTAAACTTATACTGCGCCTTTCAGGTCAGGAGGATGTCCCAAAGCACTTGACAATTCTGGCTGGGCACCAAAGCTGAGGGGGGGTGAGATGGGGAAAGATGACTAAAAGCTGCTAGGGAATTAATTGATTTATAAGTATGAGGATCTTGAAATTGATCCACTCTGCAATAGGGAAATACAGTTGGAAATATAAATCTTCAACTGCTTAGCTCTGCAAATCAATCAAGGCAGATTCCAAGCCCTGGATATATGAACGTGTGTTCACAAACCCAGACTCCAAGTAACAACGTCCAGCAGCTTCTAACTTCTGCTCTAATTTATTTTGTAACAGTTCTGAGATTGCACTCCCTTTTCACTGATTTCTCCAACTAATAGCCTGCAGAGCTATGAGGAAAAGACAACTAAGCGGCACAGTATAGATTGCTCATTCAAAAGTCAGACATGATGGGCTGAGTGGCCATTTTCTGTCCTGTAAATTTCTATGGTTCTAAAAGGACAGGAGCAAATAAACGTTAAAGAAAACCTGAATGAACAATAAGCTTTTACACCAAATTGTAGTAACTTCAGTCATCCACAATAACACAAAGGAATACACAGACTTACCTTGGACAGATTTACATACCCGAAGCAAATAAAAAATATTTCAAAGTAACAGCATGTCCAAGGTCAGTTTATTTATTCATTTGTGGCCTCCTGCAGAAATCAAGGAGAGAAGCAACCAATGCAAATCAATCAGAGAGGAATTCAGTGAATGTAGAAATAAATATTTGTTGCTGCTTGATTTATTCTATATATTTGAATTTGTATTCCTGAATTACCTTTAACCCTTTGTTTTTCTTTAACCATATCCAGTAATGATCAATAATTGATCATTATTGGATATGATTAGAGAAAGATTGACCAATAATTTGGTCACTCATTTTACGACTATTTGCGGGACACTGCTGTGCGCAATTGGCTGCTACATTTCACCCATAAAATATACAGTCAATTCACTTCACAGTTATATTCTGTGAAGTGCTTTGACTCAACTTGAAGACGTGATAAGGTGCTATATCAAATGCAAGGATTATTATTATTATCCTTTTGTTTCTTCTGTTTCTTGCGTGCTTAACCCCTTTATTTCCACAAGAATTAATTTATCTTGTGATCTGCGGCCAGTCAGAGCTGTTGAGAAAACGTACTAAATATTGACTTTGAAGACAACAATTGGATTTTTCTGGTCATCGGAAACCCTAGCTCTTCCCTACACAAGCTGCAGACTATTCAAAGCTCTGCAGCCCTTGTCTCTAACCTCAAACAGGCTCCAAAAGCCTACAACCCAAGCTCGCTCAGCCTCACAGGCTCCCCATCCCCAGCAGATCATGATCAAGATCCTCATTCTCTTATTCAAATCCCTCCCTGGACTCACCCCACCCATCCTACCTCTGCAACCTACTTCAGCCGCAAACCTGGCCGCTTCCTTTGCTCAGTGAATATCAAAAAGGAAAGGTCTCAACAAGTTGTTGTTGTTAGTGTTCATGTCCTCCACTCTACCATCAACAGGTGGCGTTTTAGCCATCCTGTCCCTGCTCTCTGGAACTTCATCGCAGAATCCCACTAACTTGCTTGCTCCTTCTTGTTTAAGGCACATCTTAAAACATATCTCATTGACTTTTGATCATCTTTTCTCTCCTCATTGGCTCCCACCCAGTATCATTAAGCACTTTGACATGAATGGTATATAAATGTAAATTGAATTGCACCTATGTGGGCAGCCTGGTAATATATCATAATCACAACATGAAAAACTTGAGAGCTTCTACTGGGCATAATCACACTAAGCCACCTGCCACCATAACTAGACTTTTCTAGGAAAAGAAAGTTTTGTTTTTCCTCCACAGTGCAAAATAGCCCAAGAGTGGATCATAGACGGTGATATACTGTGTATATGTGTGTGTGGAGATGGGAGGGGGGGATAGAAAGAGAACTGGCACTATATGGGGAGATCTAAGAGAGAGAAAAAGACGTGAATGTTGTTCTATAGCAACAGTATAGATTCCTGATATACTTCCTGTATACTTGCTGATAGAAGTACTTTTGGGTTAGTGCCATACATTGTACTTCATGAGATGACTTGATATCCTCACTGTTTTCAAATACACAATGGCAGTGGTCCATTTTAATGGGGGATATTGAGGTCTCGAATGCAGAACATACAACAACTTGCACTTATATAGCGCCCACCGTGCTATATGGCATCTCAGAGCGCTTAACAGTAGCAGAGCCTGACTCCGAGCTTGGATTCCTCATTCGCAAATGTGCAACTGTACAAATGTGCAAATGTACAATTGAAATGCTATCAATTTTATTTAGTTTCACATTTGCGAACGAGGTATCCAAGATTTAAACGGTGTGGAACTGTGAACCGGCAGCATGAAGTGGAGTGGTCCAAACCAGGTTTCAATTACAGATTAGAAAGAGTCACAACAGTGAGGCAGAGACGCATACGAACACTAAAGAGACGCTTAAGATAGGCAGAGACCCATTATCCACACAGTTTTTTAAATTTTTATATATATATATATCTGCAATGGGATCCAGTCCCGATTAGTGCAGAAATCTGCCCATCTTGTGCAACAACAAATTAAATTTGTATAGCGCCTTTCACGTCGCGAGGACGACCCGAGGCGAAGCACGTTCAAGTTGTGTAAGTTCCTGAATTGAGGCAGTCAGGTCCCCCCCACTCCTCTCTCCGCCCCCTTCCTCCTCTCTCCTCTCTCCCCCCTCCCCCACTCCTCTCTCCCCCCTCCCCCCTCCTCTCTCCGCCCCCCTCCCCCACTCTCCTCTCTCCCCCCTCCCCCACTCCTCTCTCCCCCTCCCCCCTCCTCTCTCCGCCCCCCTCCTCCTCTCTCCTCTCTCCCCCTCCCCCACTCCTCTCTCCCCCTCCCCCTCCTCTCTCCGCCCCCCTCCTCCTCTCTCCTCTCTCCCCCTCCCCCACTCCTCTCTCCCCCCTCCCCCACTCCTCTCTCCCCCCTCCCCCACTCCTCTCTCCCCCCTCCCCACTCCTCTCCCCCACTCCTCTCTCCCCCTCCCCCACTCCTCTCTCCCCCTCCCCCTCCTCTCTCCGCCCCCTCCTCCTCTCTCCTCTCTCCCCCCTCCCCCACTCCTCTCTCCCCCCTCCCCACTCCTCTCTCCCCCCTCCCCCACTCCTCTCTCCCCCACTCCTCTCTCCCCCCTCCCCCCTCCTCTCTCCCCACTCCTCTCTCCCCCACTCCTCTCTCCCCCCTCCCCCCTCCTCTCTCCCCCCTCCCCCACTCCTCTCCCCCCTCCCCCACTCCTCTCTCCCCCCCTTCCTCTCCCCCACTCCTCTCTCCCCCCTCCTCTCTCCCCCTCCCCCACTCCTCTCTCCCCCCCCTTCCTCTCCCCACTCCTCTCTCCCCCTCCTCTCTCCCCCCTCCCCCACTCCTCTCCTCTCCCCACTCCTCTCCCCCTCCCCACTCCCTCCCCTCCCCTCCTCTCTCCTCCCCCCTCCTCTCTCCCCCTTCCCCTCCCCCACTCCTCTCCTCCGCCACAAAAAGTGCCGTAAAGCAGGCGACGCTGTCCTAAAACTGTCGTGAGGAGCAGCGGCGGAAGTGACGTCAAACGAGTTCCGGTCCCGGAGACTCAGCGAGAGGGGCAGCGTGTCTGACACCGAGAGAGAGAGAGAGAGTGTGAGAGAGACACAGAGAGAGAGAGAGAGTGTGAGAGACACACAGAGAGAGAGAGAGAGCAGAGTGTGTGTGTGAGAGAGAGTGTGAGAAGACACAGAGAGGGGGGGAGGCTGCTCGCCCGGCGGCAGCGTGAGCTCAGAGCCGACACCCACACGTGTGTGAGAGAGACAGAGAGAGAGAGAGAGACAGTGACAGAGAGGCCCCCCCACCACACACACACACAGAGACAGACAGAGAGCCCCCCCCCCACACAGACACACACACACACACAGACAGTGACAGAGAGGCCCACACACACACAGAGACAGACAGAGAGCCCCCCCCCCCCCACACACAGACACAGAGACAGACAGAGAGCCCCCCCCCCCCCACACACAGACACACACACACACAGAGACAGTGACAGAGAGGCCCCCCACCCCCCCCCCCCACACACACACACAGACAGTGACAGAGAGGCCCCCACACACACACACACAGAGACAGTGACAGAGAGGCCCCCCACACACAGACATACACACACACACAGATACAGTGACAGAGAGCCCCCCCCCCCACACACACACAGTGACAGAGAGGCCCCCCCCCACACACACACACACACACACAGACAGTGACAGAGAGGCCCCCCCAGACACACAGAGACAGTGACAGAGAGCCCCCCCCACACACACACACACAGACAGTGACAGAGAGGCCCCACACACACACACACAGAGACAGTGACAGAGAGCCCCCCCACACACACACACACAGAGACAGTGACAGAGAGCCCCCCCCCACACACACACACAGACAGTGACAGAGAGGCCCCACACACACACACACAGAGACAGTGACAGAGAGCCCCCCCCACACACACACACACAGAGACAGTGACAGAGAGCCCCCCCCACACACACACACACAGACAGTGACAGAGAGGCCCCACACACACACACAGAGTGAGTGAGTGAGTGAGACAGTGTGTGTGACAGAGAGAGTGTGAGAGGGGCAGCACCAGACCCTGCACCACAGTCAGGCAGGGAGAGAGGGAATGAAGAGAAAACTCAAGGAGATCTCTCCGCAAGGTGCTGAGCAGGAGGTAGGGTGTCCATCTGCCACTCTTCAACTGCTCTTATGTGGCCTTTTTTTGTGGTTGTGTGTGTGTGTGTGTATGTGGTGTGTATGTGCTTGTCTTGTCTGTTTCAGTGTAGTGGCTGATCTTTGGGGCCCTGTTCTTCTGGGTGGTTCACAAGGCTCAGAGCCCATCCAATTGCTTGGGACACAAATACATGGTCCCATGAGCACATTTAAAACATGTGAGGCAGTACATTTCTCAGTTGTTGCTTAAGGACTACAGGAGTCTTCAGACTACCTCTGCAATCACTCCCGGATGCAGGTTCTCTGCTGTTCATTGTGAAAAGTTGTAATAATAATAATTTTTACATTTGATAAAGTGCCTTTCACGTGGGAAAGGATGTCTGTATTTGTAGGTGAATGTGGCAGCCAGTTTGCATACAGCAATATCCCTTAAACAGCTGTGAATGACCAATTTTATCTACGTGACTGTTGGCCAGGACAACAGGAGAAATTTTTTTCTCTTTTTAAACTTGCCATGGGATCTTTAAAGTCCACCAACACAGACAGATGGGACCTCTGTTTCAACGACTCATCTGAAGGATGGCACATCTAGCAATGCAGCATTCCTCACGCACTGACTGACAAGCAAACCTTTTCCCCACCAGATAGAAATGTTAACAACAACAAATTACATTTGTATAGCGCCTTTCACATCAGAAGGACATCCAAAAGCGCAGGACAGTCAGGGATCTGCACCTGAAGTGGTGGTTGGGATCAGGACGGGTGGAGGGCGGGAAGCGAAGGGGTAGGAGACGGACCGAAGGTATGGTTGAAGAGGAAGGTTTGAGACTGTCTTGAAGGAGGCAAGGGAGGGGGCGTAGCCGAGGGACTGTGGAATGGAGTTCCAGAGGATGGGGGCAGAGAGGCTGAAGGTCCGCCTGCCAATGGTGGGGCCGGGCAAGGCTTAAGAGCTTTCCCGTCCCCTCTGTTTTCAACTCCCCTACCCCAGATTCCCAGTTGGCTGTGGGAAGGAGCTTTGAGATGACATCCCGAGGTGAAAGGCTGCCTGAATGTGAAATTATTTTTGTTAAAGGTAATTGAAGAGGAAGATGAAGAGGACAAAGAAGAAGAGAGGAAATCTCAAAAGAAGAGAAAAGAGAAGCAGACGCCAGATGCCGGAGTGATAACAGTTGTTAAGATGAACAAGAAGGATCTGTACAAGCCACCGACCAATGAAGAACTCAATGAGCTGAAGGAGACTGAGAGCCTCTTCCACTCCAATCTGTTGCGGATGCAGGTAATGCTTGTCCATTGCAATTTCTGTGTGTTTCTGGCCTTTGAATGTTTGCCAAAGTAGTCTGAAAATACAAATCCTTTCTTTCTCTCCCCGCCCCCCCCAACACCACCAAGTTGAAGCACTAAAGTATGATGGTTGAAGGGCTCTTGCATCTTATGTGCAAAGCAAAGTTTTGTAGGACCATTTGCTAATTAATGCAGTGGGCTGTTGGTGATGTTTTTAAGGGGAAAAACAAAAGCCACTTATTTCTAAACCATTTCATCATGAAAGACGTAAACCACGTACAGCTTATTAAAAGCAACATTTAAATAAAAATGTTGCCACTTGAAGGCTCAAGTTTTTCCTTTAATATTCTTTACAGCAACAATTTACACTTATACAGTGCCTTTCACAATGGGAAAATGTCTCAAAGTGCTTTGTAAAGACTGAGCTTCGAGAAACCTGAGATGGGGGTTGGGTGGGTTGAGGGGAGATGACCGAAAGCACAGTTGAGATGCAAGTCTTGTGGCAGGATTTGGAAGCAGAGAGGGAAAGGACAAGATGGAGGGATTACAGGAGAGGGTAGAGGGCAAAGTGCTGAGGTATGAAACAAGCTGGAGCAGGGCCACAGAAGATTGCAGAGAGATGATGGTGCAAAGCCATGGAAGCTTTTGATGGTAAGGATATTAAAGTAATGAGGGATAGAGGGCTGGTGCAGCCAGGAGAGGATGGGGGTAATGGGGATCACAGAGGCTAGTGTGGGAGAGGATAATAATAATAATCCTTGCATTTTATATAGCACTTTATCATGTTGTCGAGATGTCTCAAAGTGCTTCACAAGATATACTGTCAAGTGGAATGACTGCGTGCTCTGTGGGCGAAGGTGGCAAGTATGGGAGAGGATGGGGGTAATGGGGTCACATTGGCTGTTGTGGGAGAGGATGAGGGTAGTGGAGTTCTGGGTAGTTTGGAGGTTGTTGAGGGAGGATCTGGGGATGCTGGTTAACAGTACATTGGAAGAATCTAATCTGAAGGTGGGAAAGGCATGGGTGAGGGGTTCTGCAGTATTAGGGGTAACATAGTGGTGGTGTTGGGTGATGTGGAGATGGAAGAAAGTAGACATTTTTAAAAAAAAAGCTCAAGATTTATAGGAAGTGAATGGAAAAAAATGAAAGACAAAATCAGCAAGTAAGTCACCAAACAGCAACAACAAGATTACATTTGTATAGCGCCTTTCACGTCGGGAGGACGTCCCAAGGTGGGGGGAATTATAGGCCATGTTGAGTCTGTTGGTCTCTGCCAGGCTTGCATGTGGAGGCTAAATTTGCCCTGGATTCCCAGGGTTAGGGAGCGGAAAACTGTATTGATGAATGGCATGCTGTAGGCTCAGTTGCAATGTGGCCTGTTATTAAGCATTTGTTTATTTAAAAAGGAACACATGTAAACCTGACTTGGTGACTTCAGGGAATGTAGATGGAATCAGAATGTTACTGGCTGAGGAATGGCAAACTGGACCCTCCCTGCAGCTCATTTAATTAAAAATGTTAATATAAGTCTAGTTAAATCCTCCTATTGTTACCAAAATGTTCTGTGCTGCTGCTGGGTATGGGTGCAAATAGTTTTAATTTATTTCTTAGACATTTTAGACACTGCTCATTCCAGGAACCCTCCGGTTTATGCTTAAAACGCATATTGGGATTTATTTCTATACAATTTATTTTTTTGTATACCAACAAATATCCTTGCATTTGATATAGCGACTTTTAAATCGGGAGGACTTTGAGGTACCTCAAAGGATTGCTGTAAAGTGTAATGACTATTTTGTAGGCCAAACACAGCAGCCAATTTATTCACGGGAATGTCCCACAAACCACTATAAAGTGGATGATCAATTTTGTGTGTGGGGGTGGGGATGGGGGGGATTTGTTGGCCAGGACACCAGGAGAATTTCTCTTGTCTCCTTGAGTAACGCCAAGGGATCTATAACATCCACCTGCACAAGCAGACAGAACATTGGTTTCATGTCTCACACTAAGCGCAGCACCTCCCAATGATGCAGCACATGCATTGGAGGTTTAGCATAGACTATGTGAGTTCAGTGTCCTGATGTCTTGAACTCAAAACCTTCTGACACAGAGAATTGTTATCAATTCAGCCAGGCTACACACCTGCATAATTCTGCCATGGACACTACCTCTTGCTGTGTGAGACCAAAATGAAAGGAGTCTGATTTTTCTTCCCCCGCCCGCATCATCTCTTTGATGATATTTTGACTCCTTTAGGTCTCCACACGGGAACAGTTCCACAGGCACTGACCGCCCACTGGTAACTCCCTGGAGTGGTAATTAATCATATGTCCAGTTAGACAGCGAATCTGCCTGTGCCTCAATAACTCCAGCTTGCGCCATCCTTGCCCGTCTTAATAATAATAATAATAATAATCCTTGAATTGATATAGCGCTTTTCAAGTCTTCTGGATGTCTCAAAGCACTTCACAGAAGTGTAAAGTGAATTGACTGCATTTTTGTGGGCGAACCGCGGCAGCCAATTGCGCACAGCAGCGTCCCACAAACAGTCATGGATTGAAGTGACCAAATTATTATTTTTTTTTCTTGAGGGATTATTATCAGGCAAATGGAGTAAGGAAGCTTGGCCAACATTTCGGCCTGTCTGGAATCAAACCCAGGTCTCTCACTTGTGAGGCGAGTGCTCTAACCACTGAGCTACAGGACTCCACAGATCTCTCGCTCTTAAATATCCCTATGGATTCCACCTCTACAACATTCTGGGGCAGTGCATTCCACGTGAATCCAGAACAATAGTTCTGCAACTTGGGGAAGTCTTCAGATTGCACCTGAGGATCTTCCTCCTAGACCATGCCTATTGTCACCATCCTTCCGTCCCCACAGCTCAGTGTCAAACTTCCCCAATGTTAAGATCTCTGAGATGCTACGCCGGTGGAGTGCACTATATAACTGCAATTTGTTGTTGATTATTGGGAGGCCATTCAGATGAAGGGCCTGACCCTCACTTCACCAGAAACTTGAACCAGTTCATAGTCTCCACCTTAAGACCATTGTCTTTAAAATTTAAAGTCAGCATAATGGCTTCCAAAGTAAGAATACATTTGAGAGTTTTTCCAAAAATCTTTAGATTTTAAGAAGCTGGTTTTAAGGCTCATATCATGAGGTATTTCAGGCCTCCGACATTCAAACCTACCAGAAGGGGTCTTTGGGTAGTTGTGGGAATCCTGTGATTTTTTTTCTCTCTCCTCACTTCCCCAAGTTGCAGAACTATTGTTCTGGATTCACGTGGAATGCACTGCCCCAGAATGTTGTAGAGGTGGAATCCGTAGGGATATTTAAGAATGAAAGAGAGATATTTGAGTAATGGATGTACGAAAGGGTATGGTGAACAGGTAGAACATTGGAATTAAAAGATCGGGCCAATATCTATTACAGTGATAGAACAGGCTCGATGGGCTGAATGACCTCCTCGTTCCTGGTTTTCTGTGTGTGTGTGTTATTGAGTTATGGAAATAAAAACTGACAATAGCAGTTTGACTTTGTATTCACTTGGGTTACATGGAGATCGAGATGATCTGATGAATTTCATACTTGCATTTTACTGTGACGAGTTGAAGAGCAGTTTGTCCTCACAAGGCTGGCCTGAATGTTACAAGCTGACAGCTCCTCAATTTTATAAATAATACACCTTGAATCTCTTCTGTTTTCTCTGCATGACACAATTCCACCTTTAGCGGAGGGGCTAGCTAACTCAGGTTGTGTGCTTTTGTGTGTGACCCTCTCAATGTCTCTCCCTGTATGTGTGTTGTGTGTTGGTTTATGCATCCATGTTGTGTGTGTGTGTATGTGAGAGTGCCTTCCTGCTGTGGGATAGCATGTCTTTGTGACACCTTTCTGTAGCACTGAACAACAGCACAGCTGAGATCAGTGAATTGATGGAGGGAGTTTGGGTTGTGGGGGGCGGACATCCTTTGCTTTCCATCGCCAACCTCAGGTTTTTAATTAAGCTCTTTTCTCAACAAATTGATTTTTGGAGCCTTTTTGTGATAACTGACTGTAACTTACAGGTGGCCACAGCACTTTCAAGCTGCTATTTTCTCTCTCACTGTCTTTTGGAGTCACGTGTGATCCATGTCCCCTCACCTGGTTTATAAATAATTCTGTCAGAGATGTATTTCCATTGATCTGAAAGAAGAGACCATCTGTTTAATCCATGTGGTGAAAATACGAATATTCATGGAAATCACAGTGTGAGTGTGACTTCATATCCAATCTCAACACCTCGTGCCCTCGGCAGGAGAGATGACAGTGTGATCTTTATGCCTGAGGGGAGGTGCGATAGTTGGGCTGTACAGTCAGATGGTGTGGGTTTATATACAAAACTTTAAAAAAATCAAACTAATATATTTGGCAACGGAATGTCAGAATTGAGTCCACCCTCTGTGATGGTCTCGGTCGTCCAGTTCCTGAGCCAGGTGCGTCCGCAGTACTCTAGGGCACTGCTTATGAAAGCACATCCAGCTGGGCTCATCGGCAGGACTTGGAAGGGCAAACCAGTCACTGGAAGCAGGGATTTTTCCCACTTAGCTCTTTTTAACCATGCAAGGCAAAGATCAAACGGGTTGGGTAGTCCTAGCTGGACAAGCAGTGAGAAGGATTGCCAGACAGTGCTTTCAATGGTAATGACAAGCTGTGCGGTTTTAGCTGGTTAGACTGAGGCAGTAGCCCAGCGCACACTATTGGGCTCCCAAGCGTTTTCTCTTGCCAACCTGCACCTAATATTCTGGAATTGGGTAAGAAGGATGTATCCCTCCAAGGAGAGTGCAAATTCCACATCAATAAATATCTTGAGGATTTCCATGTATAGGTGGAATGCATCGAATTCTCAGTTTGGTTTGGATACTCTTAAGAATGGTGATGGGTTTCTGCATATGTCAGACACCCAGTGGTCCAAAAAAATATAATGTATAACGCTTATAATGTATTTTTGAAACTTGCAGATTGAGGAACTTCTGAAAGAAGTGAAATTGAAAGAAAAGAAACGCAAGGCCATTGATGACTTCCTCCACAAAGTGAACAGACTTCTTGCCAACATCCCAGAAACACAGCAAGTTGATGTAAGGGGTTTAATTTTTTTTTAATATTTGAAATATGCTGTGCTGAGACTGAATAGATATTTGTGATAGAGAATGCTTAATTTTGTACATATGCAATAGCAATTTGTATACGTTGTATTTACCACCAAAATACAATGAGTTCACATTGTACCTTTTGCATAAAAGAATGTCTCAACAATAACTTCCATTTATAGTGGGTAGAATAATGCTTGGGAACATTTTACAGTGATGGGGTTAGATATCGAGCAAGTTGGCCTGTGGGTTGGGGGGCGCGGTGATCACAGATGAGTTTGAAAAGGTAAGTTTTAACCTGGGATTTATGGATTGAGATAAATGCAAGGGGTCCATTGCATCTTTACCTACTTGCTCATCGTGCGGTTTTCCATTTTCACTGAAGACTTTAACTCTTCAATCCCACTTGTGGTCATCTCCCATTTCTTCTCGTCTCGGCATCAGGTACCCCGTTGTTCAGCACTCTGATGCTGCCCTGCGTGAGGGTCACAAGTTGTGGTCGTTTCACTCAATGTCAATATGTAGTGTTCAAGAACAGGTTACTTTGTGTAGCGTTTTGTTCATTGATAAGTCATCAGGCCAAAACGACTATTGCCCCCTTTATTTAATAGACGTCAATTCATCACTGACTAACTTCCAGCCATTTTTCGCCTTGCTCTTCTTGAATTCCATCCAGTTCCTCTGATTCCTTCCTCTCCATTCTTTCCACATGTTCAAAGCTCACCTCAAGATTTACCTCTTTGACCATACTTTTGGTATATTTCCCCCTCCCCATCCTCTTCAGCTCCCACTTTGCCAGCTCGAATTCCCAGTCAGCAGTGTGAAGTCAGACATCCTCCTAATGTAAAAGGCACCACATAAATGTAAATTGTGATTTGTTTGGGTATTAAATAGCTCAATTCCTGAGGAGGGAGTTGCATTTACTGAATAAGAAGGGAGTTTCTCCCGATGTCCGAGCCAACATTTTCCCCAAAATAAAATTGTGGGACATTGCTGTGTATAAATGAGCAAATGAGCTACCGAGTTTGTCTACAAAGACACAATCACCCCCACTTTGCAGTAAATCATGTGAACCATAGAAATTCAGAGCACAGAAGAAGGGCATTCAGCACATTGTCTGTGCTGGCTCTTTTTAGATTCATATGATGTTACAGCACAGGAGGCCATTCGGCCCATCGAGTCTGCCGCCTCTTTTGACAGAGCAAGTCACTTTCACTAACCCCAATCACCAGCTTTCTCCCCATAACCCTGCAAACTCGTCTTCCCCAGAGACCTATCCAGTTCTCTCTTAAAAGCTGTTATCGAATCGGACTTCACTGCCCTTTCAGGCAGATCATTCCAAATTCGAACAACTCGCTGAGCGAAAACATTTCTTCTAACCTCGCCTCTGCTTCTTTTGGTAGATATCTTAAGACTGTGACCGCAGGTCACAGACACACCTCCCAACAGAAACAGCTTTTCCTTATCGAGCCTGTCGAAACCTTTCATGATCTTGAAGACCTCTATCAGGTCCCCGCGTAACCTTCTCTGCTCTAATGGGAAAAGTCCTAACTTCTCCAGCCTGTCCTCATAGCTAAGGTTCCCCATTCCTGGTATCATTCTCGTGAATCTCTTCGGCACCCTTTCCAGTGCCTCAAAATCCTTCCTAAGAACCGGAAGCAGTACTCCAGCTGAGGCCTAACCAGTGTTTTGTATAGATTAACCATAACCTCCCTACTCTTATACTCTATGCCCCTACTAATAAAGCTCAGTACACCAAATGCCTTTTCACTGCCTTATCAACGTGCAACGCTAACTTTAATTATTCACTTCTTGAACAACCAGATATCTCAGTACGTTCACCCTCCTTAAGATTGATCTACCAATTCTATATTGCCTCCTCTCATTTTTCCTACCGAAGTGTATCAACTCACACTTATCGACATTGAAATCCATCTGCCACATGTCAGAACTTTCCACCATTGTTGTGTATGTCTGCTTGCAGTTGGTTACAGTCCTCCTCACTATTTACTACCCTACCTAACTTTGTATCATCTGCAAACTTGGAAATAGTGCTCTCTATGCCCAAGTCCAGATCATTAATATATATTAGAAAGAGCAGTGGTCCCAATACCGATCCCTGGGGGACACCGCTGCACACCTCCTTCCATTTCGAGAAAGAACAATCCTTACAGTCCCATTTACTAAAAGTGTTTTGAAATGTCCTCCCGATATGAAAGGTGCTGGACCAAAATCATTATTCTGCTCAATAATGTAAGTGTGCGGTGAAGAGCTCGGAGTAGGGATTGGAGTTGCTGAGCTCTAGTGGATAAATTAGCACTATTAGAGGCTAGATGGGCCAAGTGGCCTCCTCCTATGCTGTAATTTCTGTGATTCTAAAACAGACTCACTGAAGAGGAGCCAATCCTAAATTTGGACTGTGGAGCGTTCCTGATTGATGTTAATAATTATTGTTTGCGCAGCGCTGTGAGGAGCTGCTTCTGATGAATAATTTAAGGTCGGTATCGGCCAGCTGGGACAAACCTGAGCGATTGATATATTCTTTCTGAAGTGGGCTCTAATCAAGATTTGCACAATGGAAAGTGGAATAATTTCCCCTCAGCTCTCCACCTTTAATTTATTGGAGCAAAATAATAATGTAGGTAATGTATGTGACGCTGAACTGTTGTGAATTATGACCAATTAATTCCTAACATAGTTGCATTTTCTGTCATGCCAGCAGCTGAGGAGTCGCTGAGACCTGCACCACATAGTCACTGTGTACATTAATATGTGATTGATTGGTTGATTGATTGTGAACAAGATTGAATTTTGCACGAAGCACATGCATGATATACAACAACAACTGCCCCTGTGTACGTACCTACACGAAGGGTAACGTCTTGGAGTGCTTTACAAAGACGGGGTCGGTCTATCACCAAGCAGGGGAGGGAGGTGGCCATAGGTGCGTTGGAACGATAGGTTTTGAGACAGGACTTAAAAACAAAAAGAGAGGGCTAGTGTCTAAGGACACTAACGGTGGATCCAAGAGTGCGAGGATCACACAGCAAGTAGGTGAGTGGAGGAATAGGGTCGGAGGAGGAGATTGTTGAGATGAGGAGGTGTGGATGGGTTTGTAGGTGAGCACCTTGAAATCGATCTGCAAGGGAGACAGTGGACCCTGATGAGAACTGGACTAATGGCCAACATATAGGTAATATACATGAAGCACTTTCTAGTGACAGTGGGCCGATAAATTGAGTATTCTGACCCTCTATTGAAGGTGACTACTCATTTGATATGGTTCTGTTGGCTCCCTTTGGTGGTACCTTGTTCAAGTGGCATTCGTCATATGTGAGCCAAGACAGTGAATGCCGGCAAGTGATTTGACCTTAGGGGTGCATTATAGCTGAACGTGATTCTGTTAAACCGTACACTTTATATCAGTCGATTAATCACTGTTAAAAATCATCAGCATGGGAATCCGAGCTGATATTCACTCAGCCTCACCAAGGGATAATAATAATGATAAACCCTGCATATTATATAGTGTCAGATGGCGGGAGGACATCTCAAAGTGCTTCACAGGATTTACTGTAAAGTGGAGTGACTATGTGTTTTGTAGGCAGCCAGTTTGTGCAAGGCAATGCCCCATACACAAGCCACAAAATGAATGACTAGTTTTGTCTGGGGAATTGTCATCTTAGGACACTGGGATAAAATCCCTTTTCTTTTTGAATAGTATCAAGGGATCTTTAATGTCTACCTGAACAGGCATGGGGGATCTTAGCTTAAATTCTCATCCGATGGATGGCACGTCTGACAATGTACTGGGGTGTCAGCTTAGACTATGAACTTCGAAGTCACAAAGTGGGGCTTCACAATTTTCTGATCCAGAGGTGAGAGTGCTACCAGGATTGCTGTGTGCAATTGGTTGATGCATTTTGCCCACAAAATATACAGTAAATCCATTTTACAGCGTATTCTGTGAAGTGCTTTGAGATATCTCAAAGATGAGGTGCTATATCAAATGCAAGTATTATTATTATTACAAACTGAGCCAAGCTGACATCCACCTTTACCGAAAGGATGTTGGCGTTCTATAAAAAGCTGGTCAATGGAGATTTACTGTATCTGTGAACAATTGTACATGGTTGCCAATCTCCTTCAATGCAATCACCCACATGGCAGGTGTTTAAATGATACAAAGCATTTTCTATGAACCATGCTTGAATGGCAAGTTGCTGACAACAGGCCAACTAAAAAGTTTCGAGGTGACTAATGATCATTAAATATGGGTGAGTAAGTGTAGATTGTGATTTGGATATGAAGATACTGCCAACTCAGTCGGACACGTCTATTCCCGGTGCTGGAAATTGCAGTAGAATCTGTTTCGTTAACACCCGCTGCCTCACACTATTTAAGGAAGAGGAGTTGGCTGGGAGGGTTGAGGTTCTTGCCAGCTGACTTGTTCCTTGTTAATGATGGATTTGTTCTTGAAAAGGCCTTTGTATCTCGGCTACAATTTCATACTTGCGGTCGTCTGTTTCTTTTGACCCTGTTTGTGGTCCTGTCTTTTTGCTGCCACTCTTTCCTGCAAATCAGAGCCGAAATTTAGCCCATTGTGTGGCATTGTTGGGGTGTGGGGGGACAAGGCGCAAAGAAGGGCGTCTGAATTAATCCATTGGCCTGGAGATTGGGCACTTGAGCTAAGAGGAGATCGTTATCTTCTGATTTTATCAAACTGTTTGACTGACGTCAAGGTCGTGGGCAACCTAGAGCTCTTCAGAAACAGCCACCAAAAGCATAGCTCGATGGTCACAATTCCTCGCTAGTTTATTTTTTCCTGCTAGAACCCTGTGTCCGGTATCCTTCCCGCAGCGGCACAAATGTGATCAGGAACGCTGCTCCTATTCAGTCTTCAGAGTTTGATTCGAAATGATCTTTTTTGGAGTAACGTGTTGATAAAGTGGTTCTTTCTCCCAACAGATAACGGACCAGTCGTGGCTTCCTGAAGGGGTTAAAGTTCCATTCCTTCAAGTACCGTACAACGTCAAAGGAAAGTTCCGCTTTCTGCCTCCCGCCTCTGCAAAGGTCGTTGGAAGCTACTTGCTTGGAACTTGCATCAAACCGGAGATCAATGTGGATATTGCCATCACGATACCGGCTGTAAGTCTCCCTAACCCTCGGGTTCAGTGGCTCAGGACGTCTCTGCTCGCCCACCATCTGGGCTGTACATCTGTAGACATCACGTGTTGCGCTGGCTTTATTAATCTGCAGCGGGTTGATATTGATAGCATTATATACGGTGCAGGCAAGGCAAGGATGGGTATTGTAGTACTGGAGCCATCTGCCAAAATGCACTTCCGTATCTGCATGTAGAATATAAAAAAACACTTAATGTTTCTCCACTTCTTTCTTTGTTGGCTTCTGTGGGTTAACCCATCCCCAGTGACGGAGAGAGAGCAGTGGGTTGGCCAGGGAGAGCAACTACCAGGTCCTCAGCGGCCCTGCCATAAGGTGGTCGTCTGGAGGTGCTTGAGAGCGGCCTGATGATGATGGCACCTGTTTTCACTCGCTTATTGCGGGGAACTGTATCAAAGATCGTAGGATTGGGAGTGGGAGAGAGAGTGTGTGTGCGAGAGAGAGAGAGAATTAAATCTGTGTCTCAGTGGCTATTAACTTCAAGAGTATACACTCACAATGGCATAAGAAAACTTAAGAGTGGATTGACAACAAATATACATTCTCTTATGTGACACAGGGCTCCGAATTTTCGTTCTAGTGTGTGCATGCAAGTAGCTTTCCGTTGAAATCTTGATGGTGAGGGGGGGAGGAAGAGGTTGGGTCGGGGAAAGGGTGAGGGGGGTCTGGTGTATTTGGTATTTGTTGTGACTTAACAGGTAAGATACGGGGTAATCATCTTCCTGAAGGATGTAAGACTGGATGGGATAGCTGAACGGCCGGTTTTTGTGATGTAGAATTCTACGATTCTAATTGGAATTGATTCAGGCTTGAGGCTGATCTCTGCAATTGCAGGAAACTCTACAAGAGAAGGACAACCTGAACCAGCGCTACTTCAGGAAGCGAGCGCTCTACTTGGCTCACATCGCCCATCACCTGTCCGGGAATGAGCTCTTTGAATGGGTGAAGTTTGGCTACTTCAACAGCAACCACCTGAAACCTGTCCTGCTCCTGCAACCGCGAGGTTTGTATATCACCCACCGACCTAACCCTTGTGTCGTTGTTGTCATTCATGCCTTTTTTTGTGGGGGGGTAATTATCCAATTCTTTTAAAGTCAGAGTTGCTTTTAATATTGGATTGACACCCAGGAATGTAAATAATAATAATCCTTGCATTTGATACAACGCCTTATCGTAACGTCCCACAAGCAGCCATGAACTGAATAAAATTTTATTTATCTGGGGGATTGTTGGTCAGGGCACCGGGGAGAAACTCCCTTCTCTTTTTGAATGATTTAACATCTCATCTGAAGGACGGCACCTCCAACAATGCAATGCACTGAATTGCAAGACTGCATTGGAGTTTCAGCCGAGATTAGAACTCTATCCCACAATCCCTCCACCTCACCCCCTCTCTTGCCTCCTTCAAGTCCCGTCTAAAGACCTTCCTCTTCGACCGTGCCTTTGGCCACCCCACCCCTCCTGATCCCAACACCCAGCTAGGATCCAAAAAGCCCCGATTGTCCAGCGCTATGGGACGTCTTTCCGATGTGTAGGGCGCTATACAATTGTAATTTGTTGATGATGTTGTTACCTGTGAGCCAGGCTGACATCTGAGATAACTAGATGACATGATTTCTCCATGTCTGTGCTGTACTCGTTGAGCTATCTGCGACCCATAGCTATTCGCTAGCCATACTGTGTAGCGTTCGCTGCTCCTCTGGCCATCCTTCACCTGTTTCCTTGCCCTGGTTGGATTTACTAAAACCGGGTTTTTAATGAGCATGCGGGCAAGCAAACAGTGCTCCTGCTCCTGTGCCAGGGTCGCAGATTGAGTAGCCAAGGGGGTTGAGCAGACTGCTGCTGTATATTGCCAGCCTCCTGCAGTTTGAGCCAGTTGCAAAACAGGTGCGTGAGTCGGGAGTGGCTGACAATTTCTTTCAGCACTCCAGCTGACTTCATGACATAGTCAGGTGTGTGTCAGGTGGTTCTCATTGTCACAATCATTTTTTCAAATGAGCGAGTAAGCTTATCGAGTTAATGATTGTCTTTTATCAAACAGCTTTATCCTACAGTATTTAAAAAGAGATGGGAGTTTCTCCCAGTGTCCTGGCAAACAAATCCCCAGATAAAATTGGTCATTCACTTCATCGTTATTTGTGAGAAGTTACTGGTGCATATTGGCTGCTCTGATCACCTACAAAATATAGTCACTACATTTTACAGTAAAATCCTGAGAAGTTTTTTGAAACAATTTGACAACATGATAAAGAGCTATATCAAACGTTATAATTATTATTGTCAAGTATTATGAACAAAGGCTATTTGGTCGAGGTGTCGGGAGAGTATCCAGTGCAAACATAAAGTGTGATCCCATTCTAACAGGGTTCTTTATAGTGCTGATTCAGTTCTAACATAATTACAGAGTTCACTGGTACCAATTCCCTGAGCACCTACACAGCTGGACCACTCACTACTCCTATGGCCGGCTGGCTCTAAAGCTAAAATGTTGTCATTAAATAAGACGTGATAAGGTGCTCTATCAAATCCAAGGATTATTATTATTATCGGACTACCACCGACGTCACTTTGTGTTTATTGTGTAATGGATTTGGGTTTCCTTGCTTGAGGAGGGACAAGACATAATCTATCCCACTGGGTACAAGGCTGTGCGTTACTATTGGGTGCGTTTTCAGCCCCATTGAGAAACACCCCAAATGCCTTGTGGCTTTTTGATTGCAGGTAATGATGAGAAGCTGGTGACGGTCAGACTTCACGCCTGCGCTCCTGTTGGTTTCTTCAAACTGAGCCGCTTCCATCCCAGCAAAAATCATGTTCGTACTGCCTGGTTCCTCGAGCAGCCTGCCCAGGAAGGTCGGTAACATAATGACTTCTCTCAGCCCTTTCCTGCTGTAATCTTGTCATGCAACACTTGGCTTTTTCTGATTCTGAAATCTCTAATATGAACTCCACACCCTCCATCGGTGGCCTTTAGCCTCTCCCCACACTCAGTCGAGTGTCTTTAGCCTCTGCCCACACTCAGTCGAGTGTCTTTAGCCTCTGCCCACACTCGGTCGAGTGTCTTTAGCCTCTGCCTACACTCGGTCGAGTGTCTTTAGCTTCTGCCCACACTTGGTCGAGTGTCTTTATCCTCTGCCCACACTCAGTGGAATTCTCCTAAAATCCCTTCGACTTGCATTTTATCTCTCTCTGCCTTCAAAAAAACCTCTTTAAAAAAAGCTATTATTTTGGAGGCACCCCAGATGGTGCTGCAGGGTGGCCAACCTTTTGGCTGGATGCCCTATTTGACAAACGTCCGCTGGCTGCATAAGCAATATTTTTATTTTTCCCTTCCAGAATCATAACATTTACGGGTTACGGAGGGAGCGGGTGGGACAGATGAAATAGAGGGAGGGATGTGGGGGGGCAGATGAAATCGGCCTGTGGGCCACCAATTGGATCATCCTAGTGTAGTGGATAGAGCTATAGTTTACAGAGAGGAGTTCACTGATTCGAATCCTGGTCCGTACTGAGTTTGCTCGTCTCACCTGGTGCTGCAGGAAGAATTGGCCCGTCACCAGCTCCTGGTGCAAAATTCCTGCTCCTAGTTCCTGCACTGTTTGTGCACATGTGGCAGATAGGATGGGAGAGGTCAGGCTCAGCTGTGATATCCTCTCACCCGTGGGGAAAAGAAACTACCTCTTTAAGCTGCGCCTCACGTTTCATCTTCTTACTTGGTGATCCCTGTCCTCCTTGTGAAGTACTTCAAGATGATTGTCCTGGACTAAAGGCGCTACATACATGCAAATTGTTGTTACTGGATCTCTAATGTGCATCTTTACAGTAAATATAATGTGCATCTTTGCAGTCAATCAGTGTGAATTCATTGTCCCTGTAGAATTCTGGGTTTAGACAACAACAGACATAAAAACTTGCATATATATAGCTCCCTTTATGTAGCATCTCGGAGCTCTGACATAGGAGAAGGTATCTGACGTTCTTTGGGACCCTGAATCAGTGCCTTTGAGGAAGGGGAAGGAATGATGACTCCCCTTTGCTTGAATAAATAGATTGACGAATCTTGAACATCAGACCTGTGCCCTTATTACATGATTACCAGGGAAGGTTATTGATCTGCTGTGTTTGCGTGCTTTTTGCAAAGGACATGGTGACCCTGAGATAAGAGTGCCAGAAAAGCGGCAATCACTGGCGTCAGTGACTTCCTGGGTTGTGTAATGTGGAACCACACGTGTGATTACGCTTTCTCAAGAATGCTGTTTTTCACACAATGTTTTTGTTTCCCAAATTCTTTTTCACCTTCAGATTTATGACTCACTAATGAGGATATTATCTTACGCTGGTAATGGCGGTTGAGGTGAATTATGTAAAGAAGGGCTTACTCACCCCTCATCCTGAGATCTTTTCTTCACTGCTATCTGGGTCTTTCGCATCACTATAATCTCTGTCTTTGTCCTCGCTCTGTTATCTTTGTTTTTCTCCTCACTCTATTATCTTTGCCTGTCTCCTCGTCGGCGATCTTGGGATCTAAGGCTTCCTGACCCTCACCCAGGGAGGATAGTCAAGATGGAGGAGTGGTTACTGGACATTGAGGAGGTGTGAAGGCAAGAGTCCGAATGCTCCAGTCAGGAGAGAGCCTCAACTGTCCGAAAGTCACAGTGGGAAAGTTTTGAGTTCATTTATTTTCGGGAGGATAGGGCTCTTCATGGAAAACAAAGTTTTTATTGTGTGTGTGTTTTTCTCGTTAGGAAGTGGCGAGCCTCCTACGCCTCACTACAATAACTCGGTTCTGTCTGATCTGGTGATGGAGCAGCATCTTCACTTCCTCTGTAGCTCTGCCACCGATTTCCAAGGGATGAAGGACGGCATCGCCATTTTGAAAGTCTGGCTGCACCAGAGAGAGCTGAGCAAGGTAACTTTGCCGCGCTCCCACCACCAACCTGCACAGATTCACTTGGTATCTCGATCACCAGCTTACCCTCCCCCCCCTCTCTCTCTCTCTCTCTCTCTCTCTCCCCCCCCTTCAATCCCTCCAGGGCTATGGCTGCTTCAGTGGGTTTCTTGTGTCCATGTTGGTGTCGTACCTGCTCTCAAGGCGTAAACTCAACAAGATGATGAGCTGCTGCCAGGTGCTTCGCAATTGTCTCCAATTCTTGGGTAAGAGAGACTTATGGTTTACTACTACTACTAATAATAATTAAGTACTCATAATACTTGCACTTGGTACAGTGCATTATCATGTTGTAAGGACGTCTCAAAGTGCTTCACAGGAATTATTGTACAATGGAGTGATTGTGTATTTGTAGGCAGATAATTGTACACGGCAATGTCAGACAAGTTTTCTTTCTTTCCTGCTCAGAGTACCTGCGAACGCATTTAATGAGTGGACCCTGTTCACTAATCCAGAATAATTAATATAATAGTAATAGTCATTTACGTTTGATACACAGTGGCGTTCATGTCAGGAGGATGTCTCAAAGTGCTTCATCAGATTTTATTGTAAGGTGTGTTGACCAATATTTTATAGGCGATGAGATCAAACATAGCAAATCCTATTGCATAGCATATGCAGCGCTGAAACAGGCCATTCAGCTCAACTAGTCTATGCCAGTGTTGTATGCCCTATTTGAGCCTCCACCAAACCTAGTCACCTGCCTCAAATAAAATTGGTGATCGACTTCATGGCTGTTTTTAAGACATTGCAGTGCACAAATTAGCTGCCATGTTCGTCTGCAAAGTGCACAGTCACAACACTACCGTATATCCTGTGAAGCGCTTGTGAGACAGTCCTTCCGACATGAAAGGCACTATATCAAATGTAAGAATTATTATTATTTACGGAACCTAACGGTGTATCTAGTTTATCAAGTTTTTAATATCTCATCTGTTGCGAATTGTTCTGTCCTTGTTCAGCTGCAACAGACCTGACTCAGAATGGAATCAATTTTTCCTTGACCAGTGATGTGTCAGCGGTAAGATGATCTGATTTCTTTCAAACTTCTGCAACTATGCATATGCAATGTTAGGTCTGAAGCGAGTTGTGTTCTGCCTCTGATGGGAAAATGGGAGTTATGGGGGAGAGGGGTATTCTGGAAGGATGAGATAAAATGGATCAATGGCCTTCTTCATGCAAACCGATCTTGAAATTGTGTAGTCTCCTAAAACCTGGAAACAAGATCTGAGTAACGCATTATTTATTCAAGGTCTCTAAGTCTGAACACATAATTGCTTTCTTTTAAAATAGTCTCTGACAATGCAGCAACACTCACCTCCAGCATTACATTGCAGTGTTGGTCTAGTCTACTTGAGCTTAAAGTCCCGACATGGGGCTTGAACCTGTGACGTTTTGACTCACATTCTCCCAATGTGAAGGGCACTATACCAAATCCTAGGATTATTATTGTTTATTATAATCCCCAATGGGTATGATGCACTGTGTTAAGGGAGTTTGGTTTAAGATCATGTTCTCTGGGTGATTCGAGAAAGCACCATTTTAAAGCAGTAAAAAGGTTATTATTTTCTGCGGAGTGCCACTTGGGTTGAGAAAAAGGTTTTGTTTTCAAAAGAAAAGTGTCCTGCGCCAACTTTTTTTGAATCTTGAAGTGGGAGGGGGAAACTCTTTGATTTCTCAAATTAGAAACATGTATGCTATTTTAAAAGAAAACAATTATGTGGTCTGTGGTTCCACAAACCATTTGGTATGGTGCCTTTCATGTTGGAAGAACATCTCAAATAGACGTTTATCAAACACACAAATTACTATTATACTGTAACATGTAGTGACTGTAATTTGTAGATGAACGTGACATTTGCACACAGCATTATCCCACAAACAGCCATGAAGTGAATGACCAATTTTATCTGAAGGGTTGTTGGCTAGGATACCAGGGGAAGCTCCTCTTTTCTAAATCGTGCCATGGGATCTGTAGTCTCCACCCAGACAGGCAGATGGGAAGATTGTAAGCCAGGAAATTCACTTCTGGACTGGCGGGGTAGATGCGTTTAACATCTCATTCAAAAGATGACACCTCTGTCTCAATAATGTGGAGCTTCCCCCAGGATTGCCTTGGGGTGCCTGCTTAATGTGTGAGCTCAAGTCTTGATTTGAGGTTTGAAACCACAGTCAGTCTTCTGTCCCAGAGATGAAAGTGCTACCAAGCAAGTCACGGTTTAACTTACTGAAATGTTTTGACCTTTCCTCCTCCAGCCATCGCTTGCAGACTTTCACCAGGCCTTCGAAGTGGTTTTCGTGGATCCTTCCGGCTTTGTAAATCTCTGCGCTGACATGACAGCCAACAAATACAAAGAGGTACTTTTTTTTAAAAACGCTATCAGCTGGGCTGGACTTTCTCAGTGTGTGTTTGGGGGAAGACGTTTATGAATTAAACAGATTCAGAGGCAGCAAATCCTGCATCCTATCTCCTTTCTCCACCTTTCTACGGGGTACGTAAGGACATAGGAAACAGGTAGAGGCCATTCAGGACATCAAGCCTGTTCTACCACTTTATTACATCTTGGCAGATCTTTTAATAATAATCTTTGCATTTGATACAGTGCCTTTCACGTCGAGAGGACATCTCAAGCATTTCACGGTTCACTGTAAAGTGCAGTGACTGTTTATTTTTGTAGGCAAACTGTATCCCAATGTCATACTCCTTAATACTTCTGTTACCCAAGTCTCCGTTTATCTCTTTAAAATGTCCCTGTTGGATTCATGTCTATAGCTTTCTGGTGCATTCCACATTTTTACAACCATCTGCGTGAAGAAATGCTTCCTGACCTCATTTCTACCTTGGCTCAGATTTTGAGGCTATACCCACCCCTCCAGCTGTATTTGTCTCGAGGTTACCACATGTTTGTTAACAAGCCATGAACTCCTGAGATAATCTCTCTTATGCACTTGATGTTTCCAGGTTCAACATGAAGCTAAAAGATCTCTGGAGATTATAGATGACAAAACCATGGACGGGTTTGAAGCGCTGTTGCTAACACCGAAGCCCCTTCTTCGAACATTCGACCACGTCTTTCAGTAGGAAAATCTTTATTAATTTGTTTTGTTCTGGTTGAGGGAGGAGGGGAATTGGGATCTTAATTTGCAGCAGTTTTTAATTTGTGGGCATTTTGCAGCACTCCGAGATGGATTGATATCCAGATCCTCACATTCACCACCAAATTACTTCATGTCCTGGCACTCCACACCTCTCCAACTTGCTCATATCTGAATCCTCTACCTGCCTCCTTCGCTCAGCTGGCTCGGGCCTCTCAGATCAGCGGCTGTGCTTTCAACAACAACTTGCATTTATATAGCTCTCCTCACGTAGGGTAGCATCCCAGAGCGCTTTCAGCCACTATGCTTGGAAACTCTTTAACTTCCTGAATCTCTCCGTCTTGCCTGTCTTTGGAATTCACCTGAAAACTTGCCTCTGAAGACAGTTAGCTCGCCTTTCGCCCTGGCTCTGTGCAAAGCTACCTCTTAGTCGCAATCCCTCATGAAGGACAGTATCTAAAATTGTTTTTGTGTTGTAACCAATTTCTTAATCAGAAATTTAAAATGATCAATTCTCTTTAAAGAGAAAAAACCTGCACCACATTGACTGTAGCAAAAAAAAGCCGTGTTTCAGAAATTTGCAACGTTTTAGGAATTTGGTAAGGAAATCTGCTAAGAAATAACGCAAATTAGACCCCGATATTTCTCTTCACCAAGACTTGTGTTTATTTTTCCCCCAATAGTCTGAGCAGCCCAGTCAAGTTGCAGGGAGGCTGCCAAAAGCTGAAGCTGCTGAACGAGTTGATAGACCGCGGCGGAAACTATGTGGCTGCCATCATGCCTCACCTCCTGTCACTCTTATCCCGGGGCCTGGGGCAGAGGACTCACCTTCTCGCTCACGCTCTTCCACAGATGCACGAAGTAAGTTCTTTTATATAAAAAAAACACGATCTCTGGTGGTGTCTTGAAAGCTTTCCACATCAGGACTTTGAGCTTGTGGTCTGGACTGACACTCCAGCACAGTGCTGGGGGTGTGTTGTGTTGTTGGAGGTGCAGTTCTTTGGTTGAGATGTTAGACTGAGACCCTGTCTGCCATTAGCCCCGATCGTTGCTTGCCGTTTCACTAAAATTTCAATCATTTTATTTTACAGTGGCCAATAACTGCGGAGCCTCCGAAGCACAAAGACATTGGACATCTGTCGTTTGGACTTTTACTGAACCCTGAGTTTTCTACCAATATTCTGGAGAAGGGACCCCAGGCAGACAGCCCTGAGGTAAGTATTTTTTTTTCTCTCCCCTTTGAAGCATGCCTTTTTTTTCCCCTTTGGATGGCACGAGTTGGGCTGAATGGCTTGATTCTGTGCCTTATTTTTATGCTCTTCAGGATAATGTACAGAAATGATCTCTTGGCACTATTCGAAAAGAGAAGGGAGATTCTCCCGGGATCCTGTCCAACATCAATGCCCCAGATAAAATTGGTCATTTGTTTCATGGCTGTTTGTGGGACATTGCCTGTGGGCAAATTGACGGCCACGTCTGCCTACAAATACCCAGTTGCTACACATCACGGTAAAATCCTGTAAAGCACCTTGGAATGTCCTCCTGACGTGAAAGACGCTGTATCAAATGTAAGGATTACAATAGAAATCCGGTTTGCGGTCACTTCGGTAATCCAGCCACCTCACAATTGGGGGCAGATTTTCAGTCTTTCATGGTCAATATTAAAAGACAGGCTGTCCGTCTGCTTCAGTAAACCGGGCACCTCACTATTCAGGACAACGGTTATTGATTGCGGCCGCTACAAGCGCCCTCCTCCGGGACAAACGCGCTACTAATCTGTACACAGGCCTTGGGCATCTCGGGCTGTTTGCTCGGTGCTGCTACTGTGGGTGGAGTGGGCTCTGGTTGCGTATGCGCGGCGCGGGGAGTGTTGGGATTGCGGAAGCGACGCGAGCGGGAAAATTGTGTTGGCCCGGCGCCTGTGGCCTAACCTGAGCTCCTGCGGCCAATTCTTGGTAAGTTGTGTAAACGTGTCACCACGGAAAGAGTTGTCCTTACGTGAGAGAGTGGCCTTCATCAAAAACAGTAAGAGCAAAAGTCAGAGACAGTTGGCTGTGATCTGTGGCATCGGCAGAACACAAGTTGGACGCATCCTCAAAAGGAAGGCTGAATAAGTGATGGCTTTTGAAGAAAATCAACAGCCTAATAGAAAACGTGTGTGTTTGAACTCTCAGAAAGAGGACTCCTTCTTCAAGAAATGAACATTTTGTGTGATTTTAATTTCTCATGTGAACTTCAAATGACGGAACCTAAGATCTGTTTTAAACGTGACAGTGTGCCTTTATGTTAATGAGATGGCAAAGTATGTTTGTTGAATGTTCATCACCCTTACTCATTGCCAATGTCCTTATCATTAATTACATCAGTGACCTCAATCACCCGACCTGTTTCAGTAATCAGGTCACCTCACGAAGTAGGTCACTTTTGCCCAGTCACTTGAGTGACCTGATTTGTGAGGTTCTACTGTATCGTTTTTTTAGGCCGCAGAATTCAGGAATTTCTGGGGAGAGAGGTCGGAGCTGAGACGTTTCCAGGATGGCTCCATCTGCGAGGCCGTCCTGTGGAAGGGTGACAACGCGTGCGACCGGCGTCTAATCCCAGAGCAAATCATCGCTCACCTCCTTCAGCTGTAAGTGACGTCGGGGCTTGTGTTGAAATTCACTTTCACAGTGATCAGAGGCCTGGAACTTCCACCTCGTCTTCGCCCGCAAAGTGCATTTTTTAAAATATTTTTAAAAAAAAAATGCATTATCAGTAGAATTGTGGAAAATTCTTAAATTCAGCCTTAATTAAATTAAGAATGGGGCAAGGATACTAGCTCCTGTTAATTAATTTAATAGTGTATTAATTCTAATTAAATTGACCAACTTGGCTGCCATATTCGCCAAAAATGCAGTCTCTACACCTTGCAGTAATTCCTGTGAGATGTCTTCTCGTAAAAGGATTATGAGATCAGATCTAAAGATTACTACTGACTTATTTTTTTCTTCCCCTTGCTTCCCCCTTTCTCTTTTTCTCTCTCTCACTCGCCCACAGACATGCAGATCTTCCAGCATCTTCACTCTGCTATGTTGGTGGTCTATTGGATTCTGTCATCAAGATGGGAAAAGAGGTTAGTTTGGTTAACTTAATGGTTGAATAACGTAGTTAGGAGAGAGAGTCTTCTAAAAGGGAGAGGTGGGGGTGGTGTCTCATGAGTCTGGCAATGGATGCCATAAATATAAAACTATAGGAGAGAATGATGAAGGGGTATTTCCACGGCTGTAGTAACATTATCTTCCTACGGGTGGCACTGCTGAACTGATGGCTGGTTGTACAGCTCCTCCTTACAATACTTTCTGGTAAGCTCTGCAGCACTCCCAGCAGGTTGTTAGTGGTATTGCGGGGGATAAACTAACATAGGAATTAGGAGCAGGAAGGAGTAGGCCATTCGGCCCCTCGAGCCTGCCCCGCCATTCAATAAGATCATGGTTGATCTTCTAACCTAACTCCATCTGCCCGCCTTATCCCCATATCCCTTAATCCCTCTATCCTTTAGTAGGATACTAGCTCCTGTTAACCCTGCAAGCCAAAGCCCTAACGGGTAGGGTCATCCTAGCTGGACAAACAGCGGGAAAGCCACAGTGATCAATGGCAAGCTATGCCTTTTTTGCTGGTTGGACTCCAGCAATACCCCAATGTGCACACTTGAGTCTCCAAGCCTTGGCTCTTGCCAACATGCGCCTAATCCTCTCTGGAATTAGATAAGAGTACCATATCAATTGCAAGGATTATTATTATACTATAATACTTGCAAAGAGAAAGATTCTCTTTGGTGACTTTTTTGAGATGAGAAAGCTATTAATTAGTCTTTCAAATAAAAAAAAGTGAAACATTTTATGTGTCCAAGTGCTTCACAGGATGTTTTGTAAAGTATAGTGACTGAGTATGTTGTAGATAAAATCCTGTTGTCTTAAGAGAACATATAATTCTATTGAAAGCACGATTTCCCTGATTAAGTGTGTGTTTACTATTATTATTAAAATTATAATTACTAAAATTATTATTCACTGTCACAGCCGGCAGGGTCTGGAGAGGAGGAGAACGTCCGGGTGGTAAAGTCGTACGACGACCTGAGTCGAAAGCTCTGGAACCTTAATGGACTTCCTCTGACAATCACTTCGGTCCAAGGCACACATCCTGTATTCCGATACACAGATGTAAGTCACCTTTTCTTAACATCTCCTAGAGTAATGCTGATCGGCTTGGCTCAGGAACTGGACTGTTGAGAGCGCCACAGGGGTTGACTTGATTGTGACATTCTGTTGCTGAACATGTTGCAGCCGGCTCAGCTCCCAGAAGGTCCCCTTACCTCCCTACTCCCTCCCCCCCCCCCCGAGGTAAGCAGGTAAGAAGTCAAAACGACCAATTAGTTGTTTTGGCAACTAGTTCGTCACTTGACTTCTTAGCAGCACAGTGGCCCCGTCGAGTCGCTCAGCACCGAGAGTACTTTGAACAGGCAGAAATGGCAAAGCTTCAAGGCTCTTGTAGTGTAGCTCAAAGTATGTGTGGTGCACGAGGTCCTGTCTGTCTGTTTGGGTGGATGTTAAAGATCCTGTGATTCTGACCGAAAAGAGAAGGCGGCTTCTCCCGATGTCCTGGCCAACAATTCTCCAGATAAAATTGTCTGTTCACTTTTTGGGCGGTTTGCAGGACATTGCTGTAGGCAAATTGAATGTCGAGATCGCCTGGCAATTAGACACTCTCTATGCTTTACGGAACTTTGTGAAGTACGGTTGGGCTCTTTGAGATGTTATTGACTGTATAGGCGCTGTATCAAATCTAAAGATTACTATTATATGCTACAATCTCATAGTTTTACAGCTGTAATACATTCCTCTTTTAAACGACCTCCCTCTCAATTTTGTTTTTGTAGGTTTTCCCTGCGTTGCCGATAAAACCGGATATTTCTTTCTACGTAAAGGATAAGAAGAGTAATTGCTTGCTCCCTTCTGTTGACAAGCCATGTCCTGCATATGTCCCGGCACTGAAAGGTAAAGGTTACTTTAACAGCTGGAAATGCACAGCAGCTGCACACAGCACTCACACGAGAAGCTTTCAGGCTTCAAGCGCTCTGAGGTGCTGCCCCATGTGAAGGGCACTATATAATTGCATGTTGTTGTTGAGAAAGATAGGCTAATGTTTCAGAAGCATTCAGAAGCACCAGAAATGTCTCTTTCTGTGTCAGGTGCTGACCGGATGATGTGAATTTACTCTCTCTTCCACTTTTATTTCAGAAGTTCAAAGTTGAATTGATTTTTTTTCCCTCTAGTCTGTTGATCTTTTAGCTGTCTTGTTGACATACAGTGCAGTCTTGTTTTGTCTGTTTTTGCTCATGAAGGCGGGTACCCTGTGGACATGCTGATGATGTCACTTCCAGCAACAGTAGCAGGAAGTGCCGTCAATGGTGATCTGATGATCTGGAAGCTGACCATTTTGTAGTATAGGAAGCTACCTGTCTTTTGTGTGCATGCGAGATGCATACAGAAGCGGTCTCCCCCCTCCCACCCCCATTATAAGGCTGATTTGGATATAATGTGGTTCTACTGCATTTGCTGTTGATGCACATAGATTTTCTGTTCTGAGAAACCAAAGATAGAGTACGACTGTGCTTAAAGTAGATTTTCTAAAAGGATGAGATCCAATGGGCCTTCTTTATCCAAACCAATCTTGTGTTTGTGACTGGACCACAAATTCCTTTAGTGAGAAACTTATGGTGGGTCTGAACCAGGCAGTCTGAAGGAGGGTCTGAAATTTGTGAGGTTGTGTCATTAACATTCTGTCCATTTGCATCCACTGTGTTTTTCTGAAGGCAGTTCTACAATATTGAATAATCTAATGATCGAAAACTACATTTAAAAAAATTATCTTCTCAATCACATAGTTATATGTCATATGGAAGGAAGTGGAAAATGGCCTCAGGAGAAAGATGCTCTAAAACGGATCAAAGCAGCATTTCACATCAGACTGTCTGAGCTGCTTCATCAACAGCATCACCTAACCTGCCAACCTTCAGTCACTCACCTTGATGTGTATAAGGTATGTCCCGTGTACAAGGCTGACCATCACAAGTCTAAACGAGGGAAGGGGATGGGGGATTGGTATAACCATTAGATTTTACCTTGGATGGCTGCCCCATTGTAGTGGTAGAGCTGGAGCTCACAGGTTCGAATCCTAGTTTGAATTGTTTTGCTGGTTTGGCCAGCCTGTGTGGGGACATAAAATCGACTGCAGCTTTCCAGGGATACTGCTGTTCATCCCTCCTCAGCATCCTCTACTGATTGTGCACGTGTGTGGCAGCTGGGTGAAGAGAGGTCAGGTTTGTTCTTGACACCCTCTATAGTCGAATGGCCTTTCAGCATTCACTACCAAGGCTTGCACATTAGCGATGCTCACTTGGGCTGGGTAGCGGAGGGCAGCCAGCGCTTGAGGAACTGAACCTCAGGGAGAGGAGGCCAGACGACGAGAAGAGAGGCACACACGCTAATGGGAAGGGAATTAGAAAAATAATTGAGGACACATTAAATGCTATATATAAACACGTTTAGACAAAAATTATAGATGGCATTAGTTTTGTAATTAAGAAATGATTGATTGTTGTACATATGGTTTACAATTTACACTTATGTAGCGCCTTTAATGTCAGGAAGACGTACCAAAGCACATACATAATGGTATCTGGCTCCCGGAACTGCGGGGGTGGGGTTGGGGGGTGGAAAAGTACGGTCAAAACTTGTTATTTCCTGGTCTCGTATATCCTTGTGGCTTTAATCCACTGTGTAATCCTCTTCTTTGTTGATGGTTCCCTGTCTGCTCTCTTCAGGATGGTTATGTTTTCCGAGTGCAAGTGGCCTACCACAGGGAGCCTGTCGTTCTGAAGGAAATCCGAACGCCGGAAGGTTTATTGAAGAGTCAGGACACCAAGGAGTCCCTGCAGCTGGAGCTGGAAACCATTCATCTCCCGTATCTGACCAGCACACTGCACGGGTAAGGGAGGGACACTGTGCCTCCTGTCATAAGAGCTGGTCCAACACTGAACTTCTTCACCTCACCAGAAGTGAATTATATGAATGATAAAACACAAACACAATACAAATAATACCAACACAAACGATAGAAATACTACAAATAATGCAAATGTAATACATTTATATAGGGTTTACATTTATATAGCGCTGGGCTGCGTGGGGACATCAAATTGGCTCCGGCAGGTGGCTGTCCCAAGGCGCTGGACAGTTATGGCTTGTCACCTGGACTTGGGTGGTGGAAGCTGAGCGGGGAGGGGAAAGATGACCGAAAGCACTGTAGGTTTTGAGATGGACCTTGAACAAAGTGAACAAAACAAGTGAAGGAGCAAGTCAGAGGGACTCCGGGATGAAGTTCCGGAGAGCGGGGACAGATAAGCTGAAAGCACAGTCGTTGATGGTAGGGCAGAGAGATATGAAGCCGGCCAAGTGTTCTCTGAGCAACTTGATTAAAAGTATATTATGAATAATGCATAATAATAAATAACATATAGGAGTAAATGACGATGCAATATTGCAATATAAATATGTACCCACCCTCCAGTAGACGCACACAAAACCCAATCACTTCTGATGCATTAATTCCACATTCTCAGAACCCTTTTGTGAATCCAAGAATCTTCACTGCGCAGAACAGCAGGAGAGCTCATTGTGCTTATACTGGTGCTCGCTCTCCCACTGGAGCAATCAGATCTAATCCCATTTCCCTGCTCCCCTTTCCCTTTATTATTAATACAGTGAACTCCTGATACTAAAGCACTGTCTAATATCATCACATGGCTTATTATATCACCGTGCTGTCTATATCCCAGCTGCTTTCCATGTAAACTGTGAATAAGGCCCCACCCCCTTATTTAGTCACTCTGCTCGAAAGGTATAAAGTCACATTCCATACATCCCCGTGAGTAAAATATCAGATATATCATCGAAGCAAACTTGCCTGTACCACGAGAAAATGTTGCTAAGCTGCCCAGCGAAACGGGAAATATATAGAAAACGGAGAACTGTAATTGTAAGCCAATATTAATTGCTGAAGGTGGGGTGGCACTCAGAAGGTTAAACTAACTTAGTTTTCATTTTCAATCCACGACTGTTTGTGGGACATTGCTGTGCGCAATTGGCTGCCGCGTTCGCCCACAAATATACAGTCAATTCACTTTACAGTGTGTTCTGTGAAGCGCTTTGGGACGTCCTCCCGACGTGAAAAGCGCTATATCAAATGCAAGGATTATTATTATATTAGCCCAAAGAGCTAATTGCAGAAATTACTATTATTCTTATGCATCTGCAAAAGTGAGAGAAAATGCCTTTGTAGTATAGGACCTGGATAGAATGTGTCATAAACCTTCGAAGGAAGTGACTGAAAATCTAAATCAGTGACAAACATAGCGTGAAATGACAAGTGTTAAATATTCATTGCATTTGCTGCCTATTTAGCTGGTACGTGATAACAAGGTATAACATAAAAACTGTGCAGTATGTATTGCTGTCTTCCTGGCCACCACACCCTCTAGTGGCCCTGGAGGACTCATGCCTACATAGTCACCTGGATGTATAGTTACTGAGCTCTTTTACCTGGGAGTGACGATTTATTAAGAGTTAACTGTATTTACCCAGAAGAAGAAATGTTTTGTGTTTTAAGCTTTCACATCACAGTGGGCACTCAGTATGCTTTACTGCCTGTGTATTAACATGGTCCACCCCTGATCTGTGTGTCCTAGGCTACAGCAGCAGCATTCTGCCTACAGCGGAACCTGCAGGCTTGCCAAACGGTGGATCAGCGCCCAGCTGCTCAGCGATGACATCGGTGAGGAGAGCATCGACCTCCTTTCGGCCCACCTCTTTCTGCAGCCGGCCCCTCACTCACCACCTGCGTAAGGACCCGCTTTAACTTGGTGGGGCGGGAGGGGGGCTTCATTGGACACAGACCCAAATACAGACTACAGTAAACCCCCATCTCCGGGTTAGGAGAAATTATTTCATACACAGAGCAGTTAGGGTATGGAGTTTTGATGGTGCTTACGGTCACCTCCACCCTCCCTCTCCCCCCGGCTCATTGTCAGACTCTGCCACTGTCAAGCACTCCGGGACGCTACCCCATGTGAAGGGCGTTATAGAAATGCAAGTTGCTGTTGGGAATGCCCTGCAGGGAGCGGTGGTAGAGGCAGAATCCATATTGGTTTTCAAGTGGAGACTAGATTTAAAGAAATCAACTACAGGGAGTATGGGGAAAAGGTAGGTAAATGGATTGCTCTTAAAGGAGCCAGCACAGACACGATGGGCCTAATGTGCTTTGTGCTGTATATTTCTGAGGTTCTAGATGAGGATGTTACAGAGCGTTTTGGTGGTTCTATTAACCGTTATTCTGGTAGAATGCAATTGGCGGTTTGAGTCCTGTGAAACATGTGCCTTTTCCAAAGCAAAGTCTTTCAGCTTTGCCAACAGCAGGTGGCAGGTACAGCTGGTGTCACACCTGTAGCTGTAAGGAACCTAGAGGTTGTTGACTGAAAGAGCAAAGCAGGTGAATGAATCTTCTCATTTTTGCTGTTTGTTCCGTTGTTACGATTATAGGAAGGTGAGCGAGTAAAGTTCTTTTTCATACCTTTAAAGCTTTATGCAGGTGTCTCTCTGGCTCTGTCGGTAGCTCCCACCTCTGAGTCAGAAGGTTGTGGGTTCAAGTCCCACATCGGGACTTTGAGCTCACAGTCTAGCGTGACACTTCAATGCAGTTCCAGATAGCTAGGTCTGCACTACATTGTCAGACATGCTGTCCTTCAGACAAGACATTAAACCGAGGCTCCGTTTGCCAGTTTTGGGTCGATGTTGAAGATTGGATAGCGCGATTCAAAAAGAGAAGGGAATTCTGGCCAACAATCCCCCAGAAAAAATGTCATTCACTATGCACTTCATGGCTGTTTGTGTGCAAATTGGCTGCTGCGTTTGCAGTAAAATACCGTGAAGCTCTTTGAGATGTTATGGCAAAGTGTTATGGTTCTATTCCAAGTGCAAGCATTATTATATTACAATTTGCTTTTTTCCCCTGTTATCTGATTTCTGTTTAGATGTCCTCAAGTGGGCTTCCTTCGGTTTCTAAATCTCTTGTCGACGTTCGATTGGAAGAATAACCCGCTCATTGTGAACCTGAATTATGACCTAAAAGGTGAGGGCTGAACTGAACCCCAATAATATGTTCATCCAGGCTTGACAAGAGTTTCTCCTGGTGT